TTTTCCAACTTAAATACGAATTTTCAACACATATTACGGGTTTCCAAAAGCAAACATGGACAATGTCATTCTCTCTGTAATATTGAAGGATGTCCATCTCTTAACCGCAACTCCACCTATATACTACTGAATAAAATTTGATATTTACATTTCCAATAATTTTCCCCAATGATTCTTTACAAAAAAATGCAGTTCATTTTCTCGTGAACTACATTACGTATGCAGCACAAATAAGCATGAATATCTCCATTGTTACGTCATTATACCGCTCTTGACGTCAAAAATATAGTGCACACTTTTTTGCTTTAAAAATGACAGTTGAATGGCGTAAATTTGTGGCAACTCATCAGAAAAATAATGTAAATATAAGAAATGAATTTAATTTTTGAAGATTCATGAGGTATATGAACTACAACGCTTCACGTCGGCATATTTATTATGAAGCGCTGCTAGCGCTTCATGAAATATGACGGCGTTAAGCGTCGTAGTTCATTTAAGGAATGTTTGTAAGTTTTGTGTGAGTTATTAGAGAGATTGAGATTTCAAACGTGTATGTGTACGGGTACGTGTAGAAAGGAAATAACCTAAATTTTATGTGTATTACGTCATCAATTTTAGTGACGTCAAGATTATTACGCGTTCTTAGAACTTGAAGATTGGCATCTACACGTAAGTGAAAACGTGTAGTTTTAATAATAAAAATCGGTCAATTTATAGGTGAAAATGTAGTTGTTATACATTATTTAAGATGTTTAGTTTCATGCACACGTATTTTAATCGTGTTTTATTAGCTACATAAAATCAAACTGAAGTAACAAAACTTATAAAAAGTTGTTACAGAGTGTCCGATCGAGGTGTACAAGTATATGTTACACGTCATAAAAATCTCAACAGACAAATTACAAAAACGTGTACATGTACCTCAAAACAGAGACGTATAAGAGATTTTTATACGTCTCTGCTCAAAATTGATGCACAAGTACACGTACGCGTACACGTTCAAAATCTCAACCTCTCTATTGGTGTGTGAATCACACAGACTTGTCACCTAGGCATATTTCATGAAGCGCTAGCGCGCTTCATGAAAAATATGCCTACGTGCAAGTCTGTGTGATTCTCACACCAATAAATCACACTAAACTTAAAAACATTCCTTATATTTACATCTTACATGTTTGGAAGCACCGGAAATATGCTCAATATTTGAATTTCTCGCTGCCCTATATTGTTATACTTTTACTAACGTCGCTGTAATCCTATTGTGACGTCACGGTAACGCACGTTTCTCCGTGTATATCTCTACGCGTTAGACATGTTTACTATGACATCACACATAATATAAGGCCTTCAAAGTACCACAAAATGAAATTATTTGCTATTTCAAACAACTGGATAGCTGTAGACAACATACAAACTTACTATTACATGCAGTTTTGTCATTTGTTAAATCCCACACAACAGTATATATATTAAACGATGCATCGATCGCAATGCACTTGTCAATGTGACGTCATCTCGCAAAAATGACGCAGTTTGTACACAGTGAGAGGCTGATCGAGTAACATTTTATACAATGATAAATGTCTTTTGTTCTCAAATAAAATATTATTTGCAGTTAAATAAAAGGCCGTTAACTTGGATGCGATGTCTATTTTAGCATTTTATAAATTATAAACTGTCCATACATTCTCCAGACAAGTGATACTGTCGTGTGTTTGTATACAGATTCATTGAAAAAGTAATGGAAGGGCCCTAATAAATGGATTTATTGCAAGGGCATACCCTCAATGTATCATGTCAAGTCTTTACACATAAACTCAAGAAGCATTAAAATATTTAAAAAGTGCTGCGAACCTCATGAAATCTTGCAAATAGATTAATTATAGATATTTATAAAGTGACGTATAACATACGTCACTGATTTAATGTAGTTGACCAGCAAAATATTCAACCTGCCGTCCAACAAATTAAATTTTAGTAATTAAAAGAGGGAATCTATAGGTTCGCAGCACTTTTCACAAACTACATAATAGTGTTGAAAGGGATTATAGATTAAACTTAGATTTTTAACTTGGTTATGCCCTTGCAATATTGGAATTTGTAGGTGACCTCTAAACTGCAAGTATAATTGCTAAAATCGTGTGACGTCGACATCACGTGAAAAGTCTCAATAAAAATTCTAAATGTCCCTAACATGTAGATTTAAACCACATTACATTTTTTTTATATTAGTGAAGTCCTAAAAGGAATCGCCCATCCTAATAAAGTATGTATTTTTTTTATCTTAAAAATCGCCGATACTTCCATTTGTTACCTTAACTGTGCTGCGTAAAATCCAACTTAAATTGTCAAAACAATCAATAAATAAACTTATAAAAACTCATTGAATGTTGTTCAAGTCAACAAATAGCGTAAATACACGTATTCTCCAGAATAATTCGTCCTTGACCATGGCCATGTTGACATTAACAACAACGTCATAGCGAAAGTTGCTGACCGACGACGTCCTCGATTTGCTCTGGTTCGTTCAAAGATTTAGGGAGAATATGGGATCTGTAGGATGTAAATATATGAATTTGATGCTGAAAAGGCAAGAGTCTGAGGTGCGTTTCCTTTCCCTATGACAACGATACCAACTGAGCTGATATGGAACGTCGAGAAAATGACAGCATGATCAGCGATTTTTTTAAAATTCACTCGTGATCCTACAGTGACATAAACATAATCAAAGTGCTGAAAGTACTGATACGAGTTGATGGTTGTTCAAGCTTATAAATTGAACACTGCTTTACCGATAAGGAAATGAAATTGCCATTTAAAAATTGCAGAAATTTAGACTTCCATTTAATTTCTGATGTCAATTTCATGAGATGATGCACTATATTATTAAATCCCATAAACAAATAATGTCATGTGAAATAATAAGGAAAGCATTTCTTTTTACATTATAATTATACATTTATTGTGTATTAGTGCCCTATTTTAACAAATGAAATGAAACGCTCTTTCATACCTACAGTGTATCATGGTACAACAGTATCTGAATGTCCTTAATGTGGATACAGCAAAAGTAATATCTCGTTAAAACAAGAGGCCCATAGGCCACATCGCTCACCTGAGTAACTTGGGTGATGCAGTTCTTTACCAGATTCCCTCTCTTTCTTTACCTATGATGCCCACTACCCCCTTCCCTTTTATGATTTTTAAAATTTATAATCTACACAACCCAAGGATGCTTCCACATAAGTTTCAGCTTTCCAGACTCAGTGGTTCTTGAGAAGAAGATTTTTAAAGATTTGTTCTATATATTTCAATGTAAAACTTGGATTTCCTATTGTGGCCCCGCCCTGCCCCCGGGGGTCATGATTTTAACAATTTAATATCTACACTACCCAAGGATGCTTCCACAAAAGTTTTAGCTTTCCTGGTCCAGTAGTACTTGAGAAGAAGATTTTTAAAGATTTGTTCTATATATTTCTATGTAAAACTTGGATTCCCTATTGTGGCCCCGCCCTACCCCCGGGGGTCATGATTTTAACAATTTAATATCTACACTACCCAAGGATGCTTCCACATAAGTTTCAGCTTTCCTGGCCCAGTGATTCTTGAGAAGAAGATTTTTAAAGCTTTGTTCTATATATTTCTATGTAAAACTTGGATTCTCTATTGTGGCCCCGCCCTACCCACGGGGGTCATGATTTTAACAATTAAATATCTAAACTACCCAAAGATGCTTCCACATAAGTTTCAGCTTTCCTGGCCCAGAGGTTCTTGAGAAGAAGATTTTAAAAGCTTTGTTCTATATATTTCTATGTAAAACTTGGATTCCCTATTGTGGCCCCGCCCTACCCCCCGGGGTCATGATTTTAACAATTTAATATCTACACTACCCAAGGATGCTTTCACATAAGTTTCAGCTTTCCTTGCCCAGTGGTTCTTGATAAGAAGATTTTTAGTGACCCCACCCTATTTTTGTCTTTTCTTGATTATCTCCCCTTGTAAGGGGACTTCTCATCACACAAGGATGCTTTGTGCCAAGTTTGGTGAAAATTGGCCCATTGGTTCTTGAGAAGAAGTCGAAAATGTGAAAAGTTTACAGACGGACGGACGACGGACAAAATGTGATCAGAAAAGCTCACTTGAGCCTTCGGCTCAGGTGAGCTAAAATACTTTTCATTATCAATTTGACAATTACTATTGTTATACTTATCATATTAGATTTTTTTAACATTGCAGTCTTCCAGTTCGAATGTGTAAATTAAAGCACAATATACAGGAAAATACATGAAAATGATTTTTTTTTAGAAAGAGAAAGTCGCCGTCACAATTGTGTTCATAATTTTCTCACAAGTGTAACAAGCATTAAGAATGCAAAATGTGTGTAATCTTAATATCAGAAGTTTTACACATGACCCTGATTTACAAATAAATGCTACATAAGCCAAAGTACTTACACAGTTATATTTGGGACACAGGAGAAAACTAATAATTATATTCTTGAGCATATACACTTTACAACTGTTGCAAAAACACATGGTCACGGTTAAATATTTGTTGCATATCACAATAAGCTGTAAGATTTTTCTTTCATGACACACAATAGACACAAGTTGGACAACTGCATTTTTTTCCAATGTAAATTGTAGCTGAAATCGGTTTTGAAATTCACAAACATGAAATTAATATGATATAAATAAACATATGCCTCCAACATTTTCTTGAAAATAAAATTTCTGCTATCAAACTGCGGTTTAAAAATGATATTGCTTCTAATTGATGTCACTACAAAGTACATACTTTGTACATCACCTGAGTATCTTGGCTTGAAAAAAAGAAGATATCATTTCCATTTTGAGAAGTTTAACTTTATAAATGGTCTCAAGCTCCCAGTGGGGAAGGGGCATCATTTGAACAAAAATTAAGTTGTAACAAGTTTACAACACAACACACAACAAAGAAATCGGATCAAAAAACTCATTTAAGCTTTTGACCCAGGTGAGCAAAAATGTGTTTCGCCATGCAATTTTAAAACAATTACAAATATAAAATTAGACCAGATAATGAACACAATAAATTGATATGAAATAAACTTTTTCCCAGAGGTGATTTTACAAGGAAAAGTTCTCAATATGAAGATACACATTCTTCATTTCACATTTGTTCCAGTTTTCAAGGGGAAGTTTGTCCTCCAAGTCATACAAAAGACTGACAGCACAATTTTCTAATATCAATGCTTGAAATTGTTCTCCTACAACAGTTAAGTTTATCAAATCTCCCAGCCATTCTTTATGCTCTGCCGTTTGTGGTGTATACCTCTAGAAAAATAAAATATTTTACATTATCATTAAAACGACATATAAATAACAAGTACAATTGAAGATCTGAAGGGTATTTTATTTATTATGACATTTTAAATGTACCTCTTTGCTTTCCTGGAGATGTTATCTGGCATTAGGGAACCCCCAACATGGTAGTGATGGAGTTAAATTTCTCCGGAATGAGAAATTAACCAACAAACCTCCAGAAGCAGTGAAAAAGGTTTCGTAAGCAAATCCTTCCAGGACCCATTATGCTCTGGCCCTTATGGTTTATACTTCTAGAAAAATAACAAATTTTAAATTCTAAATTAAAACAACATATAAAATAACAATTAAAATGGAAGATTTGAAGAGTATTTTATTTATTATGACATCTTAAATGTAAATCATCATCTTTCCAGAGCAATAAATTTAGATCACTTGAATTCAAATCGTCTGTAGGAATTCAAACCACTTCTTTATACAAAATGGTTACAAGTGCATTAGCAACACGTACACTGTCTACCTCTACTATCTTCTGAGAAATTGTTTCATGCTTGATGCATATCTGCTGCAATGCAAGTAATAGCTGAGACTTGCTTTGACAATTTTTCTTTGAACCTGATATTTTCCAGAAAATTTTGTCTTTTTCTTTTTTGAGCCCTGGACATCATCAACATAATCATCTTTAAGATCATCAAAATCTCGATCTGATCTTTATTTTTTTTTTACATCTTAAATTGTTAATTCCACAGTTTTATGACACAGGATGCCTTTGTACTCGCATGTCATCCAGAACATGTGTATTTTTTTTCACATATTCCCATTTATGAATATTTTTTTTTATTTTATAATGAAAATTAATAAATTAGACACTTTCACCCTGTTATGTTACATTAAAAAAGTGGTCTATATTTTTCTGAAGCGATATGAGTAAACATAAATCAATTAAAATAACTTATTCCAGATTTATTATGAACAGGTGCGTGTGGTGGATTTTGATCCGCTCCTGGCTAAAATAAAAATGGCGTCGTTCCAACAGATGCTTCGTTCTCATCGTATTTTTCGTATGATACAACAAGTAGAAATATTATCTTGGATAATTTCGTTTCGTATCATTGCATGCAGAAGAATATTCATTCGATTTTCACTAAAACATGACCGATTCTCTCAAGAAAGTGGAAATCTAGTAGAAATTTCAATGGCATGTCCTGTCGCACGACTGCTGTTTTGTGTGTTTTCAAAGACTTGAAATAATATTTCTAGTGAGGCGGTTGCCTCATTACCACAATGGAAGCTACTTTTGCGGACAAAACACAAAGAAAAATTTATATAGAATCAGGCCCCTAAAGCCGCAAAAACAAGGTGGCGCTAATGTTTACTCGGTCAGTACCATACGAAGTCCTATCGATAAACTACTGGCTAAGTTTATATTTCAGAGCAACACGTGCAACTATACTTAAATTTACATGTATTTACATTTACCATGTTTACGTACCTTCTAAAAATTTCCACTATAGTAAGCCTCCACAGTCCCGTCAATTTCTTTTGAAGTCACTGTTGTGCTGCCGATTTTGCGTGTTTTTGTTTACAAAGCAAAGTAGCATGGTGCGTATGAATATGAAAAAGTAGTTCGATCTCATTGTTAGGCCTAATGTGCCATTTGTATAAATCCCAACGAACTTGGCACAGAAAAATTAACCAATGTTATTATGCAATTAGTTTGAAAATTTAAAAAATCGACAAGGCATATATGCACATATAGGAATATGAGAAGTGACGAAATACACTTTCATTCTTCGGCGGTTTAAAATGCACTATTTTTTTTGTCGGACCGACACAATAAGGCATGTCAATGAAAATGTTATTGTTTATACTTAAAATAAATTTCCTTTCAAAAAAGAAACATTGACATGTCTTCAATATATATGTTCGCTTTCATCTATGTGGAGTTTCTCAAGATGTGATACAATTCATCGTAGAAGGAACTGAATAAACGAGGTGTGTTCTTTGGTCAAAATTAGGTCAACATTTGTAAGAGCATAACTGAGTTGATGTCCATCAACTCGTAAACAGATATAGGTAGATGATAAAAATATATCGGTGAGAAAAGTAGATAGAACGAACAGAATTCAGACCCAAAATTTTAGTAAGCAATACAAATCAGGAGCAGAGCAAACACAGACCTCTTAAATATCAGAGATAGGATAAAGTGCCATGTTGAAATGAGCGCCCCCTGTCGAACTGTTAGAAGAGACCGTGTGGTCCTTTGTCATGATCGGAAAATAACGGGAAAAAATCGTGGACAATTCAATGTATTTGTATGCTTGTTAGTTGTTTAACGTCCCTCTCGAGAATGTTTCAATCATATGGAGACGCAACCACCTGCCGGTGGAGAGCTGTAAATTTTGTCCTTTGCTCGGCACTCAGGGCCATTGAGCAGTGAGGGAGCTTTTTCACGCATGCACCAACTGCAACATAGGACCTCCGTTAAACTGTCTCATCTGAAGTACCGTCTCTGCATCTTACAGTGGGTTCCAACCCGTGACTCTATATCAGACGCTCTAACCACTGCACCACGCGGGCGCGATTCAATATGTAAATAATGACCTAACAATTTGTATGAAAATCTTCAGTCTTCATTTGACGAATTGAATGATTATATTTACTGAACCATACTGAACTACTATTTTCTAATGTCCGTGTTATCTTGGCTTTTAATTTAAACTTTGAGTAAATATCTATTTTATATCTTTATGTTTCACTTTCCATATTTTTATCAGATAAAAAGATGAATTTGAAAACCGAAGATAATACTGAGTTCTGTTTTGTATTCTTTAAAGACTTCCAGATAAAAAATTAATAGGAGGCGTTTCTGCATGGAGGAAGAAGGAATTTGAAATGGTCAATGGTTGGTCGAACGTGTTTATAAACTGGGGTGGGGAAGATGACGATATGAGCTACAGGTTTGTGTCTTTTAGAAAGGAATCAGCAATGTATGAACATTTTTATCCTTTTATTTTGAGAAAATGTACGAGGGTTTTTGTCCCAGAAAAAACGTGCGTGAACTTCTTGAATATTTTAAAAACTATGTTTTGCAAATTGTTTAAAAATGATTTTTTTTGTTATCTTGACACAATATTATTGGCCTGTGATGTCCTTGCCTTAATTAAAAGCAATATTTAAAGGTATTAAATATTTTATCCCACTACAGTTTTTCTTGCATTGAAAAAAAACCTTTGTCAATGGAGTTTTATTTATCATCAGACTATACGGGAAAAAACCCCATAAATACAGTATGATCTGGTGTACTCGTGTATATTTTTTTTATAAATTTGACAATATGAATGAAAAAATATATGACGTAAAGTGCAAAAGCACTTTAAATTAGATATTGTCAAAAATGCTGACAATTGGCGATAATGTCCAGCACCAAATTATCAAGCAACACTGTGTTGAGCGGAACATGACATAGGGAAAAAGAGATGCTAAGGATAGAAAAAACGTAAGTCAATTCAATTCTTTATTTCCTGTTGCCATATGGCACATCAGACAATTACATGTATTATAAACAAGGTATACATACATCTAAATCATTCAGTTATGTAATACATTTTTACATACGTATTATATACATGTATTAAACAGTTTAATAAAGCCATTCTTCTTTTTCTAATTTTCCCAATTTAGACATTTTGTTGAAATTTTGAACACTTAACAATTGTATAATTTAAAAAAAACCGGTTTTAAACATAATACTGTTTGATATATTTAATTCTAAGATCTTGATAACTATGTATTGAATCATAAACCTTGGACTGATTAGAACAGATGTTTCGAAGACCATTCAACTCTTTCAAATTCATTAAATTGGGCCTCCACACTCACCTTGATTTTTTTCTGTTGGGATATTTCACGATGAAAGTGAACTCAAAATAGCTTGAAAAATGAAAAATTATTTCCCAGAGACTCTTTGCAATAGTAATGGGAACTTTCTTGCATCGGACAGATTTCCTCTTTCAGCAAAAATGACGCCATTAAGAGCATATTTGTTAACTACGTGAAATTTTACTAGTTCACAGTTCTATATTCCTTTATTCTATATTATTTGTTTGCCTTATTTACTTTTTTTTCATAAAAAATAATTCTTGAAGTTGTGACTTTTAATTAGAAATACTGGTGCATGGTATTGGTTAAAACACCAGTAAAGTCTATTTGATCAAAATGGTAGCATTTTTTCTGAAACACTCTGTACATAAAATTTTAATATACGAGGGGTGATCAAAAAGTTCGCGAACTATTTCTATATCTACAAAACCACAATTCAGAATAGAAAAAAATTGGTACAAAAATAGCCATCCACACAAGTTTTAAAAATAGCATATGTTGTAGTAAGTGTTGCTCCTTGTTTGTGACGTCACTTTGTAGATCACTTGTGACAAAAAATAGTTGTCTCAGTCGTACGCGTCCGACGAACGACTGTAAAATTTATGGTATATCTTGGAAATTCCTTTGCAGTAGCGTATAATAATTTATGTACAGTTTATTAAGACAAAAGACTTCCTATAGATTCAATCAATAGGTGGATTGATCGTTTTAAACAGTGAAGGAAGGCAGGTGGTTGAAAATAATACTTATGTTGGCCAGTGAAAGCAAGTTTGAAAAGAGATGTGTTTTTAATAAAGCGATCGATTTGTTATCAAAGACCTCCAATTTACAGTTTGAAAAATAGTTGAAGATCTTAACAATGATATGATTATTAAAAAACCTAGGATATCGTTTACTTTAGATTATAAACATTTAGATATGATTAAAAGGAGACATTCCTTCTCTATCCACCTTGTATAAACATCTCTCCCAAGACAGATGATATGGGTTTTGATGGTCGCCATGCTCATGTTTGGAATGGATACTCTTATCCACCCATTCTGTTGCCGAGATTTGTCCATTTCTGACAAATGAACTGTTCTTGTCATAAAAATTAACTTGTATGGAAAGAAATATGAAACTCAGAAAAAATCAGCTTTTGTGACAGAATGCTACGACGTGGGTCACGTGACCGCCTATATCACGTGATTTGTGCATGAGCAGAACGGTGGCAGATGTGTTTTAAAATTGGAGAAGACTAATTTAAAATATAATCAACAATAAAACCAGATATTGTTTCTTCTATGGAGGTTAATCAATTAGTTCGCGAACTTTTTGATCACCCCTCGTTAAACGGAATTCATCTTCTACATCATTTAAGTCACATAATAAACACATTCTGTTATTTCTATTTTCATTTACATATCTACCTTCTTCAACCCGTAATTTATGACTAGACAGTCTAAGGCATGTTATATTTTTTGTATGCATGTTTAATACCTTTCAATAAATAATTCTGTTAAAGGTACTTGGGCACAGATTTGAAGTTAATAGTTTCTCTATAACATTACGACTTATATATTTTTATAGCGTTTCACCCAAAAATTAATCAAAAAATATTATTTCATTTAAAAGTCATTAAAACTTAAATTTTTTTGGCGGGTTTGATTGACACATCCTTGCACTTTCACAACTTTTAACTTTATTCTTAATACTTATGAAAAGTGGCAATATTGTTGTGTATTAATGAAAAATATTAATACTATAATCCAGAAATTCAGAGTAGACATGTTCGAAAGCAAAACAAACACACAATATACTGTCAGTCCCTGCAGTTGTGGTGAACAGACTTAAGCGAGTGAACGCACCCGGTGAATCATAAACACCAAAAAATAGCAGAGCCGTGCCGTGTTTACAAAAACTGTGTACATAACACGAATGTGATCGATTTGCAAAACTCTGTACACAACGGAATGACGATACTTGTGAAGGAGTTTTGCTTTCTAACATTTCTACTCCGAGTAAAATTATTTTTCTGGATTTAATTTTTAATATTTCTCATTGATACAAAACAAGATTGCCACTTTTCCTAAGGATTAAGAATAAAGTTAAAATTTGTGAAAGTGCAAGGATGTGTCAATCAAACACGCCAAAAAAATTAAAGTTTTGATAACTTTTAAATGAAATAAGATTTTTAATTAATTTTTGTGTGAAATGCTATTAAAATATATAATTCGTGATATTATATAGGCAATATTAACCTCTATATGTGTCCAAGTACCTTTAACAAAAATGGTCTATAATAAACGTATGTTGATACAACTTTCCCTTAGTAGTCACCTTAATACTATCAAGGATTTCTTGACTACACACATAAATAATTTTTGCTTAACTATAATTCTATGCATGAGTATAAAAGTTTTTGAAGAAGAGATAACTTAAGTAATTAGGAGTGTAATAGCCATGATCTTGCATATGACTTAGTTAAGCAAAGTTATAAAAGACAACACTTTTGGCAATATTTCCCTTAGTTTCATGCAATTTCGTCCATACATATTTCTTCTATGCTTATTAATATAACTGTACCCATTTGCCAGTGGTGCGCCCTTAATGGAAAAAGGGTAGAGATATAATTTTTACCTCTACTCTAGTTAGCCAGAGAACAGTTTAGTGTTTCATGAATACAATTGTAACAGTAAGCACTACATATTGTATGAATGCATTC